TATCCAGAGAGAGACCACCACTTTCCCCTTCACTGGGTAATCCGGCTCTCTGTGTAGTTATGACCGGAATGGACTCTACAGTTTTGAATGGGGTATAAAAAGCGGACCGGCCAGATAGGAGGGCGCGGCTGGACCACAAATAGTCCCACGTCCCACGCCTCAGACATGTGCTTGGGATTGTCTGGGTGTGCATGTACAGTGGGGACAGAGACACCGAGTAGCGAAAGAGAGGGAGAGAGAGAGAGAGAGAGAGAGAGAGATAGTGCACGAGATATGTAACAAGACACATAGCACATAACCGAAGAGGGAGGCAGCAACCTGCAGCAAACCTGGGAGCCCTTTCAGGGGACTCTAACAGGAGCCTGGAACCGCGGGTCTTAGCAGGGTTCAATGCTTGATGGTCAGGGCTCTGGGTGAGAACACAAAAGGGGCTCAAGGTCGTTGCCTCAAAACATGGACTGGGGTGTTGCTGGGGAGATTTAGTCGCATCGTGCCGGTAGTTCGGACCTCTTTATCACAGGCTTGGCCTGGTGCTTGGCATCTAAGTTTTGTCAGGTTGTTGCGGGTTCATTGCGCAGGGCAACTCCCTGCTCGCACCTTGAAGTGGTTGTTAAGCCCTGCAGCCCTGAGCCCTGTAATGTCGAAAGCACACCAGGCGTCGTGTGCCGTCACCACGCACGGCCAGTCAAAGTGGCGAACCTGTTCCCACGAGGCATCATGGACTACGAAGACCACCAATGACATCAACACCAATGACACCAACAATCATAGACGATCACTCCAGTGTGGAACTGCGAAAAGGTTGCACATGTTGAGCTCCAAGACAAAACCTCTACATGCCACACACATGTAGTGTACCCCGACACAGAGCTGCGCCGAGCCGGCCTTGAGTGTCGCTCCTACCCCGCTCGCACCTATCGACTTCCCAATGCCCTGAGTGGGGAACTTGGCTATCGAAGTCTGAAGCCAACCAACAGGGCAGATTTAGAAGAGCTGTCTCAGACAGGTTTAGCGACGGGGCCTCAAGCTCTTTGCCTGCGTACCATCGTGAAATCGTCGTAGAATTGAAGTCACAACAAGTAGAGCAAACGCAGAACAAATGCAGTCACTCACATGGTTTACACATCTGTGTGAGCTACACACTGTTCGCATAGTTCGGTCTCACAAGCATGCTGTCAAGGAGCATCGCCGCCCCGACCACGAATAACATCACGCTGTGAAAAAGCTCTCTGCCTAACAAAAACAACACAAAGCCACAGGAACCTCTAATTATATGCATTTGTATTGAATTGTCTTTCGTATTAGTATTGGTGTCTCATCGTGTTAGTATTGCTATTCCGTAGTGTTAATTTACTTAGTAGTAGTACGTATGACTTGTAAGTACCACCGCCGAATCTGACTGGGGCCTGACATGCGGCCATGTCCACCACCGGCGGCAGCCAGTCCTTCGGGACTCTTCGAAGACTGGTCGGTTTAGGGGTTCAGGGAGGCCAATAAACCCTCCAACGGAGCAATAGCTCCACAAGCAAGGACCTGTCTAGATTTCAAGGAAGGTGCTCTGCCTGAGGGTTGTTCCATGCAAGGCTCCTCGGGCAGGTCATTTTTACCCTCCCACTTGGCAAGGAAGAACCTACATAGCATAGTGGTGCTCCGAGGTTTAAGTTTCAAGTTCTCAGGATTTATCCGGGTTCAGGGTTTTAGGGTCCTTGATTTTTTTGTGGAGGGGTGGGGGCGGGGGTCACAACTTCTTTCTCAGATCCCGGCTATGGAGGCCCCAGGCTGCAGAGACGATGAAAGTGGGGGCTGAGCTTTTGGGGCCTTAATAATTAGAATAGGGTTTGGGGCCTCATTATACTGTATTTATACTAAGGAACTACCCAAAATAGCACAGGTAATTACTAAGGCCCCTATATTGCTGCAAGCTGTAAGCCGATAACATGTTGAAACCCTACCATTCAATCCCTCACTTATCCCTAGCCTGGGCTGTAGCTCACAGCCCACAGTCCTTCTGCGTGATGCCTCCAGAGATCTTCTTCAGAGAGGCTTGGGAATATTCCTGGGCTCAGTGAGTGAGTGTCTAGGTTTCAGGTTTCGGGTTCCAGGCGGCGGAATGTGCCAGGATCCGTAGTATTCGAATCCTCGAGATTTCTCGTCAGGATTCTGCATGAAGACCGCAACTGTTCTACGTAGCACAGCCAGCAATCAGCAAGATAGGCTGTGCCAGAAACAAAGGCTCTTTAGCAAGCCATCCTTGGTATGGTGTTTCGAGCATGGCAGAGTACGACACCCCTTTCCAATGGCGTTCAGCCCCATCTCTTGCGTTGTCGCTGATTCGGCCAAAAAGGCGGCTTCGCGGCAAAAGTCGTTTCCCGGGGTTTCTTGCTTAGTATTCAGGATTCAGGCCCAGCCAGAAACAGAATCATGAACCGATGTCTCACCCCGTACATTCCACAAACGCTGCGACCAGCCTCGAACCCCGAGCTCAAAGGCTCCGTTCAATCTAGGCACCAAGCCCTCTCTGCCAAAGCGCCAAAGCCAGAACCTGCATGGAATCCTGGACATCCCGGCATGTCACAGTAGAGACCTCAGCCGTCGCCTGTAGAACCTCCGCAGCCCATGCTCCAGCGATGCTACGGACCCTGGACTCTGCAGGAGGGGCTCTCGATTCTGCTGATCCTGGATGAAGGAGATCTTGCTCAAGTATCCCATGCCTAAGTTGCCAAGGTCAGAACCCAAACGTACTTCAATCTCGGCGGTTCAAATGGGGGGTTTTGAAGACTCAAAAAGTATGAACAGCTCGCCCACCTCAGGTACTAAGGTGCGCTGGAAGCCTCCGGCAACGAGGAGCTCTTTGTCACCTCACGAGGGCTTCGGAGGGTTTGGGGGCCAAAAGTCTTGAATGAAGCCTGTTCTGCACTTCGGAATTCGACAGGGTGTTGGTGTGAGCGACACTTTCTGTAGCGAGAGGTACATACCCACTCGGGAGTTGCGACGCCCCCTCTTGAAGTACAGTCTCCTAGCCCTGGAAGCCTAAAGTCAAGGATACAGTTGCTTGGCCCATTTCAGCCAGTGTTTCTTGACCTGTCAGTGTCTGCGCTAATTCGGAACCTTCTGACGTCCCGAGCCTTCGCCGTAGAACTGAATCTTTCGGGCGGGACCCGGGCAGCCGCAGCGACCTTTCCTGACCAGGGATCTGTGTACGTGGGGTGCGGTTCGATGGCCGTCAAACCGACTCCTACAAGCCCCCCATTCACGAACCCAGACTCTGCCGATCAGCCCGGGAAGCACCACATTCCGAAATCTAGCACCAGATTGGCAAGAGCGCATCAAGTTTGCGAAGACAGCTGCAAGAACTACATGCAGCACAACGAGAAATCGGCAAGCCCCACTGTGCGAGTAGGAAGGGTGCTAAGTTCCAGTCGGGATCCGATGTATTGGAGGGCCATGGAATGTAAGCTTGTGGATCAAGCGGGCTATAGGGCTGCACTTGACGATTTCAGAGGGTTTCAGGATTCGGATGTTGGCTGAAGGAAAGGGATTTGGGGGTTTACCCGCTTCAGTTCTGTGTGGCCTAAGGCTTGTTCTGGATTACGAAGCCTGCGTTCCCGGGGAGGAGGGCGGCCGGGCTTGTAATGCAAGGCTGGGGAACTTATGATGTACGGCCTATGCTTCAAATACCTCCGGGGTTGGGCTCAGGCTCCCAGCGCTTCAAGGCTTCGCCTTCTTTGGATGTTTCTGGCTAGGCCAGATCCAAGGTCTTTATTGTTTGCTACAGCAGCTGCTGACAGGCGACAGATATCTCGCCAAGCCATCTGCAGTGTCGAAGATCCACATGCGCACCTCACACACTCAACCAATCCCTGAATCCTCTGGTGCATGTACACATACCTGAAACCCCAATCTTTCATCTCCTAAGCCTTGATTGTCCCTCACCCTGAACTCCTTTTTTGCCACTGGGCTTGGGGCTAGCCAGATCCTTGCACCCTACACTCCTATACCTGGAACCCTCTTGACTCTTAGTGTCGGTATGCGATCAGAACTCTGGAAGCCCAAGGAAACCCTCAAAGCTCTCCGAGATGGGGGGTCTCCATAAGCAGACCAGGCTCGTCCTGGGGTTTAGGCCTTAAGGGTGTCTGAGGGCCCAGGCCAGTCAACTACGCACCCTTTATTATGCGCTGCATGCCCACATCCGATCTTTGCTCAGGGCACCCTCTCCACATTTTAGCCAAGTATACGCCCACAAGTTGCACAAAGCAAACACGTTTGCGAACTGTAACTCCCCAGCAAGAACCTGCATAACTGGGCACCAGGAGTCCGGAAACGAGGCCTCCAAGCATGACAAGCCATCGACACCAAGGACGAGCACAGTGATGACCACCATTCCATCAGAATTCACAACACTAGAAACAAACAATCAGGAACACATGAGGGCAAAAAGACCAGCTGCGGTCGGTCACGAGGAAGAGCCGCTTGCAGTCTCCAAAAATTTTCTAGGGCTTGGCACTTACTTTGCGCATGGGACGGTCAAAAGGGCAACACGCTTTAGCTGCGCTCCTTGGTCTGAGGTTCCAGCCGCGTTGTCGCTTCCGCTGGTGAGCCTGAGACCATGTCTGAAGGAAAGGGAACACAGGTCGGGGTGATTGCATTCCCCTTGTCAACATTGATTCGACGCCAGACAGGTTTGGAGGGGCCACTTGTATGGGGGAAGACTTTGTCGTTTACGTGAGACTGAAAGCTCTTCTCGCTGGGCTGTAAACCCTAAATCACCTCTCTCAACCTCAAGAACACAACCCCAAACGTAAACTGTGGAGTTCTCAACATTCCAATCCTGCCCCCATGCATCTGTATAGCTGCCAACCACAAGCCCGGCATCGAAACTCCACTTCTCTAAGATGAGCAGGAGAGCCCGACACATGCAAATTCAAAGAACCTATGTATGTAAGCCTCCCGTGGCTGCCATGGGGCAAAAGTGGCTCTTTGGGCAGGAAGACCGCCGAGTTCACCGGACCCTGGGAGAATTTTGAGTGATCGGAATCGGGGCGTTGGGTTGAAGGTTCACCAAATGCTCAACAAATAAGAATTTCGACGAAAGCTGCCTTAAGAAGTCTTAAGACAGAAGCACCTTCAAGTGCAGGAAGCTACCAAGGCAGCAGGTGTTTCGGTCTCAGGCTCAGGATCCGGCTTTCAGGGAGTCTGGTTCAAGCTTTTTACATCTCAAACCCCTACGGAGGTGCAATTGGAGAGATAGGCCCGCACTTGATCTAAAACCCCAAACCTAGACCTGTTCAAAGTCTCCTGTCGATGAGAACCTGGGAGTTAAAGGGTATGACGGGTATGATGATGAACCTGAAGTACAGCTTCACGGATCGAGGTGCCCTGCCTGCGGAAGTCCTTCCGACGTCGAAAATTCAAGGGCTTAGAATTTCGGGAGTAATCATACGGGTTGATGATATAAATCCTGCATTACCTTAAGGACCCTACTAAACTATGAGAATTACGGTATATTCCTTATTATGGGTATCATCAACCGTAGCAATCAACTCTCTGAATTCCGAGCCCTGGAACTCGGCGATCGGCTCGGGAACCCAGCAGTACTCGCCTTTTAGGCCCCCCTTCGCCACAGACAAAAAACCAAAGTACAGCTCCGAAGCCAGCGGCTTGAAGCACAACGTCATTTTCTTATACTTTGAATGTTGTTTACAGTGTTATTGTGTTTTTCTGTTTCTCTTGCTACTGTCACTGCTAGTACTACCAGTAATTTCATCATTGCTTTAAGTGCTAGTGTCATCTGACGGTGGCTGCTTCTCTAGGACATGCGCGTGCTCCGGCCTTGTGCGCTTTTTCGTGCAGCTCCACCAGCCTCCGTGTCTCTAGGTCCCAGACTGCAAACTCGCCTTGCGCCGAGTTGGGGCTCAGGGTTTAGGGGGTTTGGGCCAAGGATTCAGAGCCAGCTTTTTTGCACGTGCTGCAAGGGTTCAGTGCTCAGGGTAAGGGGTTAAAGGTGCAGCACCTACGGGGTAGGGTGCTGAGTTTTCGGGTTTACGGGTTGAGGATTCAGGGTTCGAGTTTTTTGGTTCTTGAAGCAGAACTCAAGTTTAAGTTGCATGACAAGGGCAGCCTCTGGCAAGCGATATATCCCTAGTCTGGCAACAAAGAAAGGGTTCACGGTCCTCGGGCTTTGGCTTTTCGGGCTTTCAGGGTTGGGGTCAACTTGTATAGCATCTGTGCTCAACTTCCACTAGCGGCTCAGGGTCTGTGGGCTTCTCCTGCGAGTTCTTGGCCACGGCGTTTCCAAATCTTTATAAGGCTTTGGGCCTAGGAGGTTTCGGCTGCACGGCTGAGTGCCTAAGGCTTCGGCCACAAGGCTCGCGAAAAAGGCGCGAACCCACCCTTGGAGATGCAGAAAGGATTGCTTAGCAGCAGAAAGATGCAATAAACCCAAAACCCTAAACACGCAACACACTTTGTGGGTGGAAAGAGGAACCGGGCCCTTCTGCTCCAGCCCTTGGCAGCTGACAGCAGCTCCACAAGGCATCAGCATCAAGACATGCTCGGGAAAGCTCAGACGACTGAGCAATTGCAAAGACTGACCTGTGGATAGTAAGGAATGGAGGAATGGGGTATAACTATAACGACTATTACTACCATTCTTCCATTCCCTACTAACCAAAGGTAAGAAGAAGCACCTGAAAGCAAGCTTCCTAAATCCTACGTCAAACCCCAGCAGCTCAACACTCCGAACCCCAATCGCTATACTCCTTAGGTTCAGTGTCGTGAAACACCCAAAGCTTTCCTCCGATTGCGAAGAAAAGGCACCGCTGGAACAGCCGCTAACCAGGTTGGGCTTGGCGCTGTCGTCGGATCGGAATGCCAAGCCTGTTGCGTCAACTCTTTTTGTTTCGACATACAAGGGTAGGTAGGTTCCACACAGCGCCACCTCAAAAGTATAGAAAAAACTGAGTCGAGGAGAGCAAACCACAGCGGGATAAAGCAATCACAACCAAGAAAACCAATAATGCGAATGCATGTGGTACGATTCTGCATGCAATACATTGGACGATGGGGTCACTTCATGGTGTAAGAGCACTTCTGTAAGCTTCTACCCATAAGACTGATCCAGAATCCCTGCTCTCCTAAACACCAGAAGTCAAATACCTCATGCCTGTGGAAACGTGTTTATGTGCATAACCTGTCCATCCATTTATGTAAATGCATGTCTGCTCTTCTGGTGTCCTACTGCCAAACAGGGTGGAGGCAATCCCTGGGAGGTGGCACTGTTTCGGCGAAGGCGAAGAACGTGAAAGGAGTTTGAGACATACAGGTATATACATACGTATATATATACACACATATATAGAGAACTATGTATATATGATGTATATATGCACATGCATGAACGAACTTGCATATATATATATATGTACATACAGAGGTATCTACCTGCTCTATCTGCCGATCGTTTGAAGGTTTAGGCAAATCAACAGACCCTTAACTCAAGCATTCTGAGCACCCCCCGACTCCTCCCCACTCGTTCCCCAGTTCTCAGCAGAGCTGCAGGTAACGCGACCCTGGGCTTGATTGAACTCGAAAAGCACTCGGTCCTTCGAAGCTATAAAAGACGGTTTCGGCGCTCACACTCGGACATCAAGGAGGGTTTGGGGTTCTCTTTACAAACCCCGTTGAGAGTGTTTGCCTTCTTGTCCACGACCCTACGCCCTCTGCGAACTTGCTCGCTCGCTTCTGCAAGGTCCCAGCGAATTTCGTAGCGGAAGAGGCTGTGGACTCCAAACCCCAAGCCTTTCTACCCGACGGCTCTCATCTGCTCGAAGCTTGATCTGGCCATGTCAAAACAGTTCTGAATCGAAGTTTGGAGGGCTTCCTCCGGTCATGGCTATGGCGGTGAAGGATTCGGATTTCGGGCGTGCATCGTCGTCTGTAGATGGGACAGTACTTTTCCTGGCTCCACGTCTTTACGATGCCTAACATGTCACAAGCTGTGTTGGAACTTGAACCAGCCCAATGCCGCAAGCCCGCCTACAAACTCTGAAACTGTAAGCACATCTTGCATCCTTATCCATACAACTCCTTGTATCATCATGTCTGCCAGAGTTTGAACTTGTCAGCATGCAGCATATGTGAATATTGAAGAAGCCCCAGAAACAAATTGAAAGAGAAACCAACGTGTAACCCGTGGAGTAGGGGAGCTTGAGAAATGAGTAGCACCAACATAAAACCTTAAGCCTTAAGAAGTAGGAACCCCGATTTCAAGGATGCCTCAATATGAGGTACCTTGGTTGAAGAAACCCCCAACAACCCTTACAGCCATCAAGAAGACCCGACAGAATAAGCTCTAGTCTGGGATCGCATGAGATGTCGCAAGGGCTGTCATGCGAGAAGAAAGCCTCCGCTACTCTCGAGTTCCTGAGTGCCTTGGGCCACCAAAGCTTATGCAATGTAGGGACCTTAATATTCAGAGTAGGGCTTAGGGGTATATTACTACTAACTACTATAACTAGAATAAGGTACCCCCCGAAAACCTGTTTCAAGTATTCAGGCCCCTACATTAGCTTGCGGTACGATAATGGCACACGTGCGGCATCACCTATTCAGCTGCTGTGGCTCAAGGTTCTAGCAGGTCCTGGTTTAGAAATTTAGGAATACGTTGTCTCCCGCGCATGGCAGGAATAAAGGCTAAAAGTCTAAGGTCTGTGCCTCTAGGCTTTCACACGCGGTCCTCGCGAACGTTCATCATGCAGATGCGGCCACTTGCAAAGCCTACGGCCACGATGTCGAGCGCGTTTGGTGCTTCCTTGCGTCAAGCCGGTTTAGGTCAGGAAGTCCGAAAACATGCTGAACTCTGGCCGAAGAAATCAAAGCTTGGTGCTTCAGTACAACACTGCAGAACCCAATAGTCCAGAAGGTCCGCGCTGTAGAACCAGGATCATCTGTTAATATGTTGGGTGGGGCAGCAGACGTAGCCAAGCTGAGGTGGCTGCTTCGAGATCTGATCCTCAATCCTAGACCCAGGAGTCCCACGAGTTAAGATCGTCGCACTCAGTTTGCTATGTTCCTGGCGTTCCTGTGCGGGTTCCTGATGAAGGGTATTTGGGTTTTTTCCCTCTCTCGCATGGCAGGAGACTATGTCCACAGGCGAGGTTAGTTAGGGGACAAATAGACATCATGTTGAGGAAATAGGGTACTGCTTCTGCTGCAGTTCTGCAACAGTCATCTGAGCCATGTCGTGAACTTGAACAGTATATCCCGGGCTCTACCGGCACAGCCCTGGGACAGCCATCTACCTCAAAGCTTTCATCGCCTAACGACTGGGACTGGTATTCAGCATGATGGCAAACCATGCTATACTGAATCCCTACTTTTCAAAAGCCCGGTTAAAGAGGCTGGGATCCATCAGCGATGTGATGCCGACGGCACCGCTAAGCTGTGCCTGCGACCAAAAGCATGTGTGGTTCTGATTTAGGCTATATTCCTTAGTTGCATGAGGGGATTGGGTCCTCTTGGCTCAACATCACTAGTTGCTCCTGCTTAGCCAGGGGACCTCTCCAACAAAGGTCCTCTTGAAGGTTCCTATTTGAGCTACTTCTTTCCTGAAATTCCCAGATTCAGGTTTATGCCCCCCCCTAAAACCATAACAGAGATTAATATATTGAATATTCTCTTGGGTTTTAAATGAACAATAAAAAAGTAACTCCTAAGGAGACTATAGAGGTTCCCTAGTAGCCCTTCAACCTGCTATTCACTCCTGATGGCGAGGCCCCATCATAACACGCAAGAAGGCTACTACTGGGCGGCCTAGAAAGTTGCTCCGAAGCGGTATTGCTTTTAAGGGTCCACGGGAGGCTTCTGCAGGGTTGGGTTCAATTCGTGCAGCTTCAGGAACCCATTGTGTATGTATGGCTTCGGGCCCTCATTAAACATCCATCCACCGAGAAATTGAAGGCAATGCAATCAAATGCTAGCACATATACACGTACATGAATGTATATCAATACACATACCCATGCACATATGCATGTGTGTAAACATGCACATATGCAGACAAACAATATGCCGATGCATATTCTAAAGGCATGCATCCACATATGGACATGTGAAGATGCAACCCACCCTCCCAAACGCGTCATTACTACCCATGACCGTTTTCTGCATCACGCCTGTAAACCTGAATCCCGATTGACACAAAGCTAAACAACAACTAACAATATATGAGGCAAGGAAAACCAGGCCAAGCCGTGTCAACTGTGCGGATGCCAAGCTGAAAACTCGGCTTTCCCAAGCTCTAAGCCCTGCTATACAGGCGGTGTTCTCGCCCCTACTCGCGAATCTCCAGCCACCCTGAGCCCTGCCTGACCAAGGTGGGACTTGAAAGTATGGATACGCTCTCGGGAGCGCACGTTCCACAACCTGCTATGCAGTTGAGGCTTCTGGCGCTCAATGCAGGGGCGTTTTGGGGCCCATTATGCTTTAATAATAATAAGGAGTTCCCAAAATAGTAAACACATAAATAAAAATGTGTGTATATATATATGTATATATATATATATGTATATATATATATACATATATATATATACATATATATATATATATATAAAAGTATAGAAGAGGAATTTGGAGATTAAAGCTCTCGCCTTTAGCATCTTCAGGGCTCAAGTCACCTAGCTCTCCACTGCTCAAGCTACAAACATTAGGGGTTCGTAGAAGTGTTGTTCGGCGAAGGCAGTTAGATTTCTCTAGGCATCCCAAGTCTTCAACTCTACCGCCCGGAACCCTAAAATCCCCGAACTCCCACCCCAATCTACAACATAGTAGAGGGGGCTTACAGTTTTGACGTGAGTAAGGTGTATTCCGGTGCGTTCCTCTTCTAAACCCAAGATATGTTCTTCGAAGGATAACAATGGTAGACCCTACATAGTTATACGGATCTTATGTTTCTGATTTTAGCGTTTCTGAAGTTTCTGGAAAAACCTACAATCCTCGCGAGCCGGACCCTTCTTGCGTTCTGCGTGTTGGGGCTTTGGGTTTTCAGTTCTTGGTGGGCGTTTCAGGGTCTGGTGTATGAGCCAGTTGGAGCTGCAGGCAGTGATGCGCACCCTCGAAATGCGCTTCTTGCTGACAGACTGTTGGTTTTCAGAGAGGGGGTTCCAGGAAAGTAACCGAGGGAGCCGACTTCTATCTCGGGTAGGCGCACTCATTGCCTGAAGTTGGCCGCGATCTGAGGCCAAGTTTGGATTGACGCTTCTTCCCACCATCAAATCATGCAACCATCAGCTCGCTTTACATGCAGAGAGCGCTAGACAGAGAGAGAGATAGAGAGAGAGAGAGCAAGGGCGTTCAAGGCACAAGCTACAAGCACATGCAAAGATCGCCTGCATGAGTCAAGCTGATGGTGATACGCCAGTTTGGCATTTAGTGAGAAACCCAAAACTTGACATCCTCGGCCGGAGATCACGGAAGCCGGACTCCTGAATCCGGAAATGCCAAACCGGATTGAGGCGATGCAAGTTTCGAGCCCACGAAATCTCCGTCCAGGCAGCTCCATGCCGCCAGTTGCCCCAGCGATCAAGACCTGGAGTTTAGGCTTCAAGGTAAGGTGGTTGCTGGGCGTTTTTGGGCGCTCATCGCATTTCAGTCTTCTTTCGAGCCTTCAACGTTTAAGCCCAAATCCTTCAGCCCACACACTGAGCATTCACTTGTATAAACCGGGTGCCGCAGTGCTGGGCACCACTCTAGCAGTAGTAGTCGTCCTCATCGTCGCTGTAGTAGCAGAAGCAGCAATCGTGTTAAAACAAGAACGAACTTTAACGAACGCGACCTGTTAGTAGGACTGCCGGGGCTTATCTGCTGCAACATCGTGGAAGCAAACACTTCGAGTCTATGGGGTCCAATGACTGCCTGCTATCCTCTGTCCTGGCTTGTTTCTCTAGGGTTTTAGGGTCACAGTGCGTAGGGTCTCGGGTGTTAACTTGGCATCAAGAAATGCGATCTGATCAATCCCAAGTCTCATACATTATCAACTTGCAGTGAACCCGGTATAGGGATTCTGAAGCTGAGGCCTGTCTTACTATGGCATCAGGTTCCCTGGGCGCCTTGTGCAGGTAGGTTGGAGGGTGGCGCACACCTCGGCTGAACACTGAAAAATCGGGTTTCGGGGTACTGTTTTCGGAGACTCTGAGAGAAAGCTCTTACTGACTTACTGCTTCTTCAGACTTCAGGCCCCTTACTTGAACCAAATTCCGCGCGAGGAATTTAGATAACCATGCGCGGGAACTGGGACATGCGCAACCAGCGGTGCCGTCAGGATGCAGGTGACCGCCCCAAATTCCCCCAGGTTCAAACGGCCCAGGGGTGCGACCACGCCATCCTGGATTCAGCTTGGCTTTGAGGGCGATTGTCTATAAATAAACAAGTATATAAATAAACAAACGAATAAAGATAGGTAAATAAAAATATTTATGTATATATATACACACATGCACAGGGACACCATGTACAGCATTTCATATCATGCATCACACACACATGCACGTATACGTATACATATACATGTGCATGGTGCGCATACATATACATATACAGATGCATATACTTATACACATACACATATTCACATGTAAAAACAGCATACACACACAAACGTGTGTAGATATATATATATATATATATATATACGTATATTGTATATATAGGTCATAATGTATATATGTAGATTTGTTATTTACTTGTTTCTTTGCTTATTTATATCTCTGATATATATATATATATATATCACATATACACAAGTCTGTGCAGTAAAGTTTCTGGGTCGAAGAATAGTCAACTCTCAGTCTCTATCCTCTCCGCGCCATCATTGAAGGAAGGGGTCTGGTCGTGGCCACCAAGCACTTTCCGCATTGTTGCTCTACCATCAACGCGGCACAAAATGTGGCAGTAGCAGTAACAGGAAACGTAATAGCAAAAGAATTACCCTCGCTGAACATTGAGATCACCAGTTCAGATGACTAGGAGCCGTTCTGAGCTGTAGCCCACGTACTATAATTTACAGCATTTCAGAGTTTGATTGTTGGATCCCCGTTTGATTCCTTTTGGACCCCTGCTTGGTTTTCTGATGCCCATCCCCTGAGCGAAGGATGCCAAGGGGCTTGAGAGAGGCTAGCCTGTTGTTTGAAGGCATATTTTCACCGGGGAGAGCACTCTGATTGTAATGTTTGCCTCTTCGATGCAATTTACTAGTTTCACTGCCGTCTTCCAACAAGAGAAACGGACGCTGCAAAGGCAACCTAGCAGGTCCAACTTTCCAGTTTTCTTCGCTTGCAGCGCAATAGAAGAAAATGTCTAGGTATCCTGGTTCTGATAAGCAAACAGCAACATAAGAAGGGAATAAGGCCATTACCGGAGGACCTGGCAGAATTCTCCGGCTAGAAATAGGTGTTGCGCTGCGCCTCAACTGCTCAGGCCCGCTGTCGGCCGCTCGTCAGGGCTACAGCTCAAAAATGATCCCAAATGCTTCCACCTTATGTACTGCCCCCGTACAGTAAGAGTCTATCATAGGGCTACTATTAAGGTCCTAATATATCTAGATTATGAGTACTAGTCAACTATTACTGAGGGGGGGCCGTACTCAATTTCCACCCTAAACCCTGAGCCACAAAACCAACAATTGCCAAGCCCAAAGCCCTTAAACCCTCTCCCAACACACACAAAAATCCATTTTCCACGCAGGCCTCAGCAGTGGCCTTCTGGCTTGCCAGCTCTGTCAAGGGCCACCTGTGGCCGCCCCGAACTAAATCCCCCGCCAAGCATGTGTGTGTGTGTCTGCGTATGAGGCCCCCTACTGTAATACACGTACTTCCAACATATCCCATGGCCTGATCGTGATAATTTTTGGCCTGTTTTGTTGTGGGTTTAGAATTAGAACTTTGGGGCTTCGCCTTTCAGGGTTCGGGTTTAGTGACGGTTTAGTGGTTTAGTGTAGCAGGTGTGCTGCCGAGACGAAGACTTAAAACAACTTCGGCATGATTCAGTAATTGCTTGCAGCTGTTCAGCTCAGGTGGGAAAAACGGCAGCGTGGCTGTGTACCAACATCCATACGTGCAGCATCAAGCGACTGAGCAAGGCAATTTCCCAATGAGTTTGGTTGCAGCCATCCTCCGTTTCAGCTGCCCCAAAGAAAAAGCCCCCAAACCCCAGAGCCTGAATCCTGAAACCCTGAAGCCCTCAAAAGCCTCGTTACGTGTAAAGCTCATGTCCAAGCAGCACAATGACCTCACTTCCAGCGGCGGAGATGAGGAAACTCGACCCGAGTGGACACCTCTGAAGGCTCTCCGACTTCAGCTTCCAACCCTTTCCCCCCGAAAGAAGGGTATAAGGATACTACTCAGTGACCTGAATGTAAGGTTCAAGAGGGTTCGTAGATTTAGCGTATGAGCACAAGGTTGCGACGTCGTTGCAAGGCCGCTTAATGTGCGAAGTAGGGGGGCATCAGTGCGTGTTTACATCAAGCCTGCTCTATAATGGCTGCAAAGGCTTTTTGCTTGCTCTATTTTGCTTTGTTGGCGAATGACCACCGGGAGATCCCAAGCTGAAGCCAGGATCCGTTCCGAATGTTCTGAGCGGTTCAACCCGCATTTGGCCAGCACCGTTGACTCTCCACTTATGAAGGTCCTGAGGCCCATGCGGACATGCGATGCTCTACGCCGCTCTACGCCTTCAAACATCTGTCTGAACACTTCTCCGTCACTTTGGCTGAGCTGTGGAGATTGTAGTCGTCAGATCCGGGATCGGAGGTGGTCCACATGGTCAGGCAAGCAAAGCACTGATCATCCCTTGTCGAGAAGAGCTGAGCAACGACTGCTGCATGTTGACACGACTTTGTCCACAGAGTCCAGGTTGTACTCACCGCCCCGGCGTGCGTCATAGCAGCTCCACATCGACACATATGCGAGGCAGGCTTCGTCTTCTGGGGCTAAATGCTCCGAGCAAGATTTCACGCACTTTTTCTGGATGTCCTCGACCTGATTTCTGCAAGAGACATCAAAAACATCGCTGTAGCCGACGCAGGTTACTACGACCAAGGTCTCGAAAGACGAGGACGACCAAGTCCCAGTCCTAGATGGTAGGAATATGCAAACTTCAAGCCCGAGGCTAACCTCGGGAATCTTTCACGGCAGTCGATCTGTCTCGGATTCTTGCCGCCGTCTGGATGTGGGTGCGGATACATTTACAGGCAGCTGCCAAATTCTGATCGTCCTGAACCTCCAACCGGGTCTAGGGAATACAGCCTTAAACGAGAAGCCCTTCATAATTTCAGGACGTATGCCTGAAATCCATAACCTGCTGGGCTCCTACTATAATTACTACAAAACTACAGCATACGCAAGAAACTCAAGTACGCCAATCAAATCATGCGCCACATGTTCGAAGAGAGGTTCCCTGTGAGTCACTGTCTCAAGACCCTACTGGTACAGAGGGTGTAACTTTCAGAGAAACATGAAATTACAAGATCTGGGAAGCCTATGTAAAAAATGCCAAGCAAGCGTGGAGCTCGACACCGTTTGAGGTGCCTAACACTTTTCTTATCGGACAGTCTAAGGCAGATGTGTATATATACATATATATATATATATATATATGCTAGCCCCCCCCCCCAAGACCAACCCTGAATTCCCTAAATTCCCTAATTCCCTACCCATTGGATTTAGGTATTTCCCTAAATTCCCTAAATTCCCTAATTCCCTACCCCATGTGTTGGATTTGGGGAATTCCCTATTTCCCTAAATTCCCTAAATTCCCTAAATTCCCTAAATTCCTTAAATTCCCTAAATTCCCTAAATTCCCTAAATTCCCTAAATTCCCTAAGTCTGACCCCCATGGAGAAGATTCAATGGTTTCCGTTCATGGGTAGGGAATTTAGGGAATTTAGGGAATTTAGGGAATTTAGGGAATTTAGGGAATTTAAGGAATTTAAGGAATTTAGGGAATTTAGGGAATTTAGGGAATTCCCCAAATCCAACACATGGGGTAGGGAATTAGGGAATTTAGGGAATTTAGGGAAATTAGGGAATTTAGGGAATTTAGGGAATTCCCTAAATCCAACACATGGTCCGGGCTGGGAGTCAGGAATGTTAGGGAATGCGCTAAAACCAACACATGGGGCTGGAAATTAGGGTATGTAAAGACTTTAGGGATTTAGGGAGTCTGCAGGAACTCACGCATTCTGTAAATTCGAGGCATGGAAGCAGTGATTAGAGAATTTAGGGAACTCGACCTCGCGACGTCGCCGGTTGACGTGTCTGTGCAACTGATACTTGTAGTAATATTGATATTATTTTTAAAAAAATTGAAAACTATAATACTCATACGAGTACTATTACTTATAGTAATACTACTGGTGAAACTGATAGTATGCTAGTATGAATACTGATGTTCCCAAGAATACATGAAATCATGTACATTGTATGAATAGTCTTGATGCGAATACTAATATACATACTATAGCTAGTATTATCGCTAGTATGAATATTGGCTATGCATATTCGTGAAATTACTCATTTTTGGAGTACTCATATTCATGCTAATATTAGCACTAAGGCTAGTGCGAACGTGCATAATAACATGCTCATACATGAATGTTAGCATTCGTATTAATATCAGCATTGGTATGTTTTTCAGTAGTACTAGTAACTCATACGAAGTGTAACCTCAAGTTTCATATTCCGACGAATACCAACGCATGTTTTGTTCATACTAATTTTAATTCTACTACTAGTATCTACTCCTAATATTGAAAAAACTGTACTAATACCAATTTTAGAATTGATGTGAACACGAACTTTAATGTTCTTGCCAATACTAATATGCATAGTAATATTAGTTAGCATTAATGTATAGGAAAACTAATGTTCTTACGAATACTAATAATCATGTTCCCCTTTTATATTCATATAAGAATCGTCATGCCTAGATACGTACTAATGCTAGTACTCATGCTAATACGAGTATTAATACCAATACAAGCATAGGTATGAATATTCCTACGGGTATTTATGCTCATGTTCTTAACAAAATTATTCTCAGTACGAATACCGACATTAATAGTCTCTTTAGAACCATATTGATATTAATATGAGCACTAATACTTCGGCTAGTACGAACATGCATAATACTAGCAAAATTATTTGTGCTCATACAAATATAGAAAGATTATTACATACTCATATTAATATCAATACCAATATGAATTTACAAACATCATATTAATGTCAATATCGTTTTTGTAATGTATACTAAAGAATACATCAGAATAAGGCACAAGGAAATGAATGCATCAGATTGTTAAAAACTCAATGTTTTCATTTACCAATATGTATGGTTATAGTATTATACTAATATACTAATAAATTAATATACTAATATACTGAGAAACTGATATACCAATAGACCATTGTTACTAATATACCAATATACGAGTATACCCAAAATTTTTTATTAATATATATGTTTTGTTTATATACCAATATACTGAATATACACATATGAATACTTATACACATAATGTACTAAGACTAAGTTTTTAAAGCCCAGCCCACGTCTAATATTAATACGAATACTAACACAAACACTAACACTAACACTGCTATAGACATATATTAAATTAAACTGGAGCACTAATACTCATATTAATATTAAGACTAACACTGAGGTTGACACTGACACCAGCATCAGCACTAACAGGAACACTAATCAAAAGAACAGTAATATTGGACAGATACCAGCAGCATTGTTAGAACGTCTAAAATTAGTAATGACACAAAACTAATAATAATGCTAACGCTAGCAAAAATATTAAGGTTACTGCTCACAATAATTGAGGTTCAAACTTAGAACAAAATTAAGTCAAGACCAATGTTAACACTGTTTTTTGAGACTGAAACTAATAATAAGACTTTGACAAGATGACAACTCATGTTAATATCAATACCAATATGAATTTACAAACATCATATTAATGTCAATATCGTTTTCGTAATGTATACTAAAGAATACATCAGAATAAGGCACAAGGAAATGAATGCATCAGATTGTTAAAAACTCAATGTTTTCATTTACCAATATGTACGGTCATAGTATTATACTAATATACTAATAAATTAATATATTAATATACTGAGAAACTGATATACCAATAGACCATTGTTACTAATATACCAATATACGAGTATACCCAAATTTTTTTAATGAATATATATGTTTTGTTTATATACCAATATACTGAATATACACATATGAATACTTATACACATAATGTACTAAGACTAAGTTTTTAAAGCCCAGCCCACGTCTAATATTAATACGAATACTAACACGAACACTAACACTAACACTGCTATAGACATATATTAAATTAAACTGGAGCACTAATACTCATATTAATATTAAGACTAACACTGACGTTGACACTGACACCAGCATCAGCACTAACAGGAACACTAATCAAACGAACAGTAATATTGGACAGATACCAGCAGCATTGTTAGAACTTCTAAAATTAGTAATGACACAAAACTAATAATAATGCTAACGCTAGCAAAAATATTAAGGTTACTACTCACAATAGTTGAGGTTAAAACTTAGAACAAAATTAAGTCAAGACCAATGTTAACACTGTTTTTTAAGACTGAAACTAATAATAAGACTTTGACAAGATGACAATAATTAATAAAGGATGAGGCACACAAACTGGACTCTGTCTTTTACCACTCCGACAAGACGCGCCGAGAGTGTAAATGGTGTCCATAAAACTGGACCCTGTTTTTTACCAGTCTGTCAAGAGGCGTCGAGAGTGCAAACTTTGTACGGGAACACAAACACCATCGGTATTTACAGTGGTTTCGGCTCTTATTCATGACGCTGTGAAGACAGTAATGAGCAGGACAATGGCCGAGGTTGGTCCTGGGGGGGGGGGTTACCATATATATGTATGTATCTGTATGTATATGTATATGTATATGTATATGTATATGCATATGCATATGTGTGTATATACATGTGGTTTGCACATATTTATATATACATACACACATACACACGTATGTAAACAAATAAACAGATATAGATGTAACTGTAAAGGAATGTAAACACACACACACACACACACACACACACACACACACACACACACACACACACACACACACACACACACACACACACACACACACACACACACACACACACACACACACACACACACAACCACACACACACACACACACACACACACACACACACACACACACACACACACACACACACACACACACACACACACACACACACACACACACACACACACACACACACACACACACACACACACACACACAAATAAGCTCATGTCTATATGCATATTTGATGCATGATGTCTCAGGAGTATTGAAGTTATTGAAGTCTCTGGGTCGATCCGAGAGCCGAGGCGCAGTACGGTCGCCGAGCTGTGGTGCCCACGCAGGCGTCCGATCTCAGCCACACGATGCCACACGACCTAAGCCGAGCCCCGCTTGAGGGTTCAGGGGGTCACATCCAAGGATTACTACTTGTTTTGAAGTGAAGGAAGCTCCGCTAGTAAGGGCCCCTCGTGATTGTTGATCCCTGCTTTCTGAAAGGTTTTGGGCAATCTTTCATGATCCGGTAGTGGTCGTGCGGCAGGACAAAGGCTGTCAGAGATCAGATTCTTTCATCCAAACACTTAGCCATAAGACTGCTGCATAAGGCTCCGAGTCCTCCCGTCGCGCACTGACACCCATGCAACGGAGTACAAAACTCTGCCCACGAACCCAGCTGACTTCCGCAGTCTTCTTTGCCTTCACCAAGAATCGATATCAAGCTTCAAAGCAGTGATGACGGTCTCGCCCACCGTAGTAATGGCCCGAATCTGCAAAAGGAGTAGATTTCTGTGATGCAGATACCGGGTCAAAGCTTCGCGGGTCGAGCGAGGGCTCACACTCCACTTCTGTTTCATGCTCCTTCGACTGGAGTGTTTGCAAAGCTCCAGGAAGTATTGACACAAGCTACGACTCAGACGGTGAAGTAGACAAATACTTTATCCGAAGCGCCAATGGCCCAAACGCCAAATCGAACGCGCCCGACCTCCTAAGACTGCAAGTTACTTCTGACACCCTTTCGTGACTTGGACAGGGCTGCAGCTTCAGGGCCTCAGGTGGGCATAAGCTTGTGGAAGCTATGGGACTTAGTAGCCAGGGTTATAAATAAGGCAAAACAAGGTAACGAATTATAGTGCTTGCTACCCATACATTCAGCTAAGGTATTCTATTAATCTGAATAAGCGAGGGTTTGCCGACCAGGCTGGGCGTCTCCAGTGTCGAAGCTGCCCCGCAGCATAGAAGCTTTGCTTAAGGACCCTTCGAGTACCCAGCAGGCTCTGTTCGCGCTTAGTTACGGGCTCGGTGTTGCTATTTCGACCTAAGGCTTCAGCCGGGAAATGTGTTTGATTGAGGGTGCTGGCCGTCTTCAGCCCTTTAACTACTACACTAGGCTCCTAAACGCCATCTGCCAAGTATCCAGACGGTTTGCCCGGGCCTTCTCGTTCAGCCGAGGACCAATGTAGGCAAGGCGGAGTTTGTCGCACTCGAAGACTTGAAAGCCTGTACTTGGGATCTGACGCTCAATTTTCTCTATTCGTCTCTCCAAGTAAGATTTTGGACGTAAAAGCGTGTGTGTGACCGGACGGTTTAGACTTGTCAGCAAGTAAAACCGTACACTAATCTAGTAGTCAGGTATTGGAGAACTGCCCAGAGGTTGGGTCGTTAAAGTTGAAGACTTCAGGCCAGCATTCCGTGAAGCTATTGAGCCAGAGTTGATAACATTTGTACATCTATCTTGGGGCTGTTCTTTCGGTCATGCTTGCAAGAGCGGTTGTAAGCAGAATGACGTGGCGTCTTGCTCGCAACTCGTCGAACTAGTGGTACGTCACCCTGGAGATGGGTGGCTGGTGGTGGCAGCAGGAGCACCAGCCGCATAAATACAAACATGACAGTAATAGGACTAGAAGTAGCTATAGTTCTAGCAGTGACAACCCCGGAAACGACCAGCAGTTGGCTGGTAGGAATCCAGGCTCGAGGAAACCCCAATACATTGGAAACTGCAAAAGTCAAGAGTAGTGCTCGCAGTCTCCATTTTTTCTGCTGCGGCATGCTGGCATTAAGTTTCGATTTTCTGGAAGTCACGGCAACCCGGAGCCACCTCTTCCGACACTGACGGACACGAAGGAAGCATCGCCCAGAGTTTGCAGACTCAGAGGCAGGCCTTGCAGTCGAGCATTACAGAGTTGAGGCCTTCAGGGTTTTCGGCTTTTTAGGGCTAATGGGGTCTCAGGGTTTTGGGCTTTAGAGGTTTAGGCGTTGTGGTTTGTTTGGGGCTAGGTTTCCTCGAAGAGCTCTTAAAGGCTCCTCGGTGGCTGTCGTCAAATTCGCCTAGAAAAGAGCCACAAGATTGACTGCCTTCGATGGGCCGCCATGCTACCGAGGACTTCGATGAACGGGGTAAAGCAGGAGTGAACAAGCTCTGAACCAGAACAGACGCGAGTTTACACTGAAGGCAAGCCGGCCGGGTACCGGGTGGTTGCCAAGGCTTTGGCTGGCAACACTGGATGGCTCCGAAGAGCACCAAGAGCTACGATGAGAACCGCAAAGAGCAAAATCAGGAAGCGATAGTCGCACCTCCAAAGATATTATACTGCGGTTCGACGGTAGTCATACCTTTTTTCAATCTGAAGACAGGCAGATTATTTGGGAGTTTCCGAAAATCGGGGAGCCTAATACAGTACCCTGAATAGTAGGAGTTAGTATAAGGATCTCCAATTTAAGGTACCCCTAATTCTCGGAAACTCCCATTTTATCTATGGCAGCGAAGGCTGCAGCCCAGGTTGCTGTCTATGACGGTCCCCACCGAACGCACAGGTCGGAAGAGAGCGCTCTCCTGGGAACCGAGGACAGCTGCTCGCTGCAAGAAGCGCTTCATCATTTTTTGGGTCATCCTAAACGCATCTCCTTACACTGTCGACTGAAGGATGAGGCATGTAAAGAGTTCCGCCTGTTAGACAGAAGAGGGTTGCAGAGATGGTATAAAAGCAAGCTACATCACTGGAGGTCGCGGAGCAAGCAAGTTTGCTGAAGACTATGTGCAGCGCTACCCTTATCTCGACACTCAGCTGCTTCCATCCTCGACATGCTACACACCCGTGGGGCGGAGTGTAGGCCAACGCACCAACCAGTGCATGTTTCGTTCAGTTGCCACAGCTCCGAACTTTCACATCCCTATATCCCAACCTCCTAAACCCTCGAATGTAATAAGCCTGCACCCAGCAATCTTCGACCCAGCCTCTGCTGAACCTTTCACCTCATTCGGGTTCAAACCACCCCGCGTACAAAACCCCGAAGCCGCCCCCACGAAACTCCCAGCATGACTTGTCCGGCAGACCTAACTCTACAATCCGCAACTTTCTGCTCTTGTGCTCCATATGGGTAAACCTTTGTCCCGTCAGAAGACCTTCGGCTGTTTAAGGTCCGCTCTAGGACTCTCCGTAGCCGTAGCCAGCAGAGAGCCGGTGCAGGCCCTCAGTGCCCTCGAAGTCTTCTGGCCTTGTATTCCCTTTCTGCACTTTGAAAGAGACTGGTAAGTGGGTAGTTCTCAAAATTAAGGTCCCTTTTTGGGTACCCTAAATAATAGGTGCCGTATTATAATAGGGGCCCGAAAAGGGACCATGATTTTGACAACCACCCAAGTGCAGCCCACGGCACCCGAACCCGCAGCGCTGAAGAGGTCCCCGGACGCGCTGCTCGAGCGGTAAGACGCCGAGCCTTCCTTGGCGGCCTTAGTTGGCGAAAAACCAAAACAAGATCCCACACCCCATAAGTGACCTTTATGCACAAGACGGCCGCTGAGAAAGACCCTATCCTATTCCTCCCATAAGCTCTTTAATGGTAGTTGGGATATCCGTGGCGGTTCTGTCTTTTAGATGCTTTAAACACGCCCGCGTTGGCTGGCTGTGACAAGTTGGGGTGGGGATTCGATTCTTCGGGCTCTGAATTCCACCTTTATGGCGCAGAAAGCTCAGCATCCCTAAAATACGTGATACACCAAACCGCAACGATAAGCCCCATGTCATAGCTTAGGGTAGCGTCTCTAATCGAAGGCTGTTGGGAGTATTGAGCTCCCTGGACAAAAATCAGCCGCAAGTCCTGCTGGAATTATTGGCTGAGCGGAAGCCATACAAGTACACCATTTCATCCAGTTTGTTCGAATTCAGGAACGGACTTTCAACCCTTTCGGCCCGCGATCGGGCAGAGAACCTACCCCCTAAACCACTCATGAATCACCCACATCTCAAGCCATCGTAGCTTCTGGAAAACCAAGATCATTCCGTAGCAGGGAAATTCCAGTTCAAAGCCCTAGCGCCCTGGAGGAGCAAACACGCGGGTCTTCATGTAATGGAATGCTGGGAAACCGCTGTAGGATTTGTGGTTTTCTTTGTATTAAACTTTTCGCAATATTTACCCTGGTAGCCACATATAGTCTTTGTAATAATCTCCTAAACCAAATTCCAATGTTTCATGCCCCTGTATTGCCAGAGTCCTCTCGTTTGTTGGAGATTAGGGTTTTCGGTTTCGGCGCTCACACTCGGACAATCCAGGCGAGGCATATGGTTCGGAGTCTGATATGCGAAACGACACTAATGGGAAAGGGCTTGGAAGCCTACAGCCCCACACTTTAAGCCTTTAGCCCCGAACCCCAGCCACTGCCCAAACCCTTGGGAGTTCCGAATAAGGGGTCCTGATGATCCAAGGGTAAAAGGAGGGACCCTTAATAAGGACCCCTGGGTATATACCCTTAATATAGCTATTATGTACCCACGATATAGCCTATTTTTGGGTAGGGGTCCCCATTAAGAGTCTCTCCTTTTCCCCTTTGAGATGAGGGTTGCATTAACGGCAGCCTATAAATAAAATTCTCCTCTGGGCCACAGCTGGGGCTCATCAGTCTCCTCCTTTGGAAGTTCGTCGCGGAGTTGCCTTGATGCATAGTGCTTTAGCGGGCTTTCTTGGCCCAGGGTTAGGGTTTAGGGCATGTGCAGGGATGTGTATGAGTCGGGAGTTGGGATGTGGTGGATTTCGGCGAAGGGTATAGGGTTTAGATGGGTTTAGTGTAGGGAGTCGGGCTTCAGGTCAAGCGTTTGCGATGTGAGATCTATATCACGCAGGTTCGATCGTTCAAGCCGGAATCTAGAGTAGGCGGGGCCTTAGGGAGTTGCAGGAATTTTCTGTTTGAGGCTCGGAAGGCAGGCAAGTCGAAGCATGAGGGTTGAGAGTTTTTGGGGGACCCTAAACCCAAATCCTAAACTCCTAATTTAAGTAGCCTGAATGCAAAACCCGCGTTTGGGGACCCTGAACTCTGGAGGTTTCGGGCTCCGGTATGTCGACTTAGCCTTGACGGGAGTAGTTCAAGATATCGTAAACATAGGCTAGGCCAGCCAGCATTACTAATCTCTTAAACCCAAACCCTACCAACCTAAGTACAAAATTGCTCGAACTCCTCCCCAGAAACCTAACTCTGCAAACTCAGCAGCTGAACCTATGCCCTCATTTCCTCCAACTCCACTCCATGCTGGTTTAAGGATACTCAGATCTTATGGCTGGATGTAGATTTCCCCAATTTATGGGGGGTTAGGCCACGTGGGGCTGGGCATTGGAAGCTAGCTCCTTGCAGAAGCGGTCTGCCGCGAGGTCCACCCCTATAATATATCATAAGGAATAGACTATAAGACAGACCCCAAATTAGCCCATACCCATATGGGAGTTTCCAAAAATAGTTGACCCTAATCTAGCACCCTGAATAGTAGGACCCTTATTGTAAGGATCCCCAAAGTAAGGTACCCCTAATTTTCGGAAACTCCCATCCCACCCTAAACCCTAAACATGAGCCCATACCGATATGGGAGTCAGTATGCTATTTTGGGGTCCTTTTTAATCAGAATCCTAGTATCTAGGACATTTTCTTAGGGTCCCCTATTTTTTGGAAACTCCCAAATTAGCCCATACCCATATGGGTGGTTGTCAAAATGATGGTTCCTTTTTGGGTCCTTATTATAATACAGCACCTAATTTTTAGGGTACCCAAAAAGGGACCATCATTTTGACAACTAACCCTTAAAGGAGGAGAGCTCTACGAAGTTTCCGGCAGTTTGGGAGGGCACCCGGGCCTCTGCGCGACGTCCCGGGCAAGCATGGGACCGGTCCTCCAGGGAGAACCGGTCTATATTCTATGTATGTATGTATATATATATATATATATACGCACATATAGTAAATAAATATGAATGTAAACATTGGTAAAAAGTATATATATATATATATATATATATATATATATATCTGTATATCTATATATCTACCGGGTGCTTAGGCTTGGGCGGTCTAGGGCTGGAAGGCTTGATGCTTCTGAGGGTTGCACCGCTCACAACTGGGCCAAGCCTGGCGAAGTTACTGGTTTCATAGTGTCGGGTTCCAAATGGCCCAAGATGCAGGGTTCTGCTTCTCGGTTGCCAATTGGCTCGGGGCTTACCTGTCTGGTCTTGGAACTTTGGGATTCGGGATGCATGCACCCTCGGTTCGAGGGACGTCATTTTGCAGCATATGGTTCAAAAGCCCCCTAAACTCTTGCACCCCCCCAAGCACCGAAAGATCCCGAATCACCATCCCCCCTCCCTTCCCTGCGCACCCCACAGCAGCAAGCGAAGGGCGCCGGAGTGCGGCTCTGCACTAGCAGAGGCTTGCCATGGCTCCGGATCCGTCGGAATAAAGGAGTTCGACTCTCACAACTCGGATCTTGTTAAGGTGTGGGGCTGTAGGCTTTTGGCGGTTTTGGGGTTGAGCGCCTGAGGGGCTGAAGTTGGCAGTTAGGGTCGAGGTGGCTGCAACTTGGAGGACTTGGCAGGCTGGCTCGCTGGCAAGGCTTTCAGCCTTGGTTTCCGGTGGGGTCTGAGGCTCAGGGTGTTCTGCGCAGAGCTTAGGCATTAGGTTTTAGGACCCATGTTGTGGTATGGGGCTTCAAGCTCTGTTGGTGACGAATCACAACAGAGAGCTTTTCCTAGAAATGACACGTTGAGCAGTGCCGTAAAAGACGATGTGTCTTCACCATGGGCTTCGAGCATGATTCTGACTTGAAAATCTTGTGGACGACAGGATACGATGGTCGCACATGTCTTACCTGGCCTACCCAAACCCACCAGCCCTGACCCGAAACCCTCGAAACCCAAAGCTCCAGTACAGAGGCCTGACTCACTAGCAATAGCATTTTTAGTAGTTCCCCCCGGCCCCAAAAAAACAAAACAATGTGTTTAGTGTAAGAAGCAGGAATCCCTCGATGTCCACTCGGGGCTGCAGGTTCAAACTTCACAAAGCAACTTAGGCTTTACTATAGGGGTCTTATTAATCAGAATAGGGTTTGGGGCCCATTATACTATGATTACAAGAAAGAACCCCAAAGTAGTATAGGTAATTTTAATGAGGCCCCTATGTTAAGCCCTCAGCACCCCGACCCTCCCTGACCATTCCTGGTTTCAGAAGTAGGGCCTTTTTGTAAACAAACCTTCGTAAAGCAGGCGAAAGCTGCTGACAACTCCCGCGATTGAGGCCTCGGAACGGAGGCCAGTTTATGTAATGAGTGCCTCCAAGTGTCCCGCCATAAAGCTCGCTCCTCTACTGCATTTCTCCTGGCGCCTTTTTTTGCAATCTAGGTTGTCCAACATCTCAACCCGAACCCCAAAACTGTCAATCCTCGAAGATGCTCCAGCTGATTCAAGCTAGTTCCCAAGAAGCCGTTGAAGTAGCCCGCGAAAGAATGAGATTCCTTTTCCTACTGCTCAGCTCAAAAGGACCATCACACAACAAAAAAGGGAGATGGACTCCGCTATAAACATCTGTTACATCCAGTAAATGAATAAGTATGTGTAGCCACGTTTGTGTTTATACATGTGTACACAAATTAGCCAAGTTACTATCCGGCTATGTACAAATGCATGTGTTTTTGATTGTTGAGACACCCCACCGCCCCCCCCCCCCCCCCCCCCCCCCCCAATGAAATCTTGAGATGAGAAGTGGTTCATCTCAACTTGTCCTCGTCTTTGGCTTCCTCCGTCTTTGCCTTCCTAGGACACGATGCGGGGCTCCAGCAGAACAGTGGTAGGTCTTTCGGGGGTTTGCGAACGGGATGAAAGGTTTTAGGGTGGGACCAAGAGCTGTTCCTTACGCTGAAGCCTTCAGGGTTAGGCTTACCCTCAAAACCCTGAGGTCTCTGTTTGGGTCAGAGGCTCCCGTCAGTGTTGCTCTCATTGAGTTGCTGCCGGGAGTGAACAGGCATCCGTGCACGGTACCTACCAGGAGTTGGAATCCAGCCCAGCTACAGTTGTCCTGACGCCCCAAAAACCCTGGAGAACAGCTGCACCGATCGTCCTTATTCCAGCTTTCAACTTCAGGGGCTTACTGTAAGCACTTTTCGCAGTATGCCGCCACATCGGGTGTGCAAAGGCGAATGGCAGCCGAAACAGCGAACAAACGGGTCTCCATTGCTCCGGCGTGTGTGCCACTGCCCAAACAAGCTTACACATCCTTTCCTAAGCCGTTTGCTATAGCTAGGAACTGGGAGGCTTCTTGTTTTCGATTTATCGGTTTGTGTCAGGGTGTATGAGGGGGATATGTACAAGGGTTCCAGGTCTTATAAGCGTTGTTCGGGCTTCAAGAGGCTTGGAGTCCCTGGTTCTTCTTCCAAAGTACAAGTCTTACCGGGTTTTGCTCCCAAACCCTCCAACTCCAAAGTCCCGTTCCCAGCCAGGACCCTCCAGAGTCAGACACCTACATGCTCAGGGTTCTTGAGATCATGTGTCCTTGCTCTACATGTCCTTAAATCGGTTCGGTTCCCATTTGGGTAGTTGTCAAAATTATGGTCCCTTTTCGGGTACCCTGAATATTAGGTGCCGTATGATAATAAGGACCCAACAAGGGACCATAATTTCGACAACCACCCGTTTGATGGAGTCAAGATGAACCCGAAGATGTCCCGTCGGATGCGCGACCAAGGGTCTTCTTCGGGGGCTCCGAGGAGGCGTCCGGCTTGAGGAACTGCAGGAACCGGACCTGTGGCATCACAGTCCAATTTGAACCACTTAGGGTACTAAAGGGAGGGCAGTTGATTTGGGGGGTACTGGAGGTGCTTAGGATGCTTAAGGTGTTTAGGACTAAGGTCCTTCTGGTTCTGCGGGTGCTTTTAGCATTTAGGGGTGCTTTGCGTGCTAGACTTTTTGGTGATCATGTGTAGGGTGGTAGCTTGCTCGGGTGTTGGGGTAGTAGGGCTGTTAGAGCATAGGGCTTGTGGGCACCAGGCTGTTGGTGGAGTGATAAGGTGCTAGGACTTAGGGTGTTTGGGGCCTTCGAAGGTTGGTGCTTTGGGTGCCAGTCCTGTACGGTCAGCGCGAAGGTGTTGCGGCATCGTTTATGCTTTTCGGTGTTTCACAGGAGGGGCAAGGGCATCAGCCGGAAATCCAACGATAGGCGCGCCACACTTGTATGCCAGATCTGCTTTTTTCCTACCGTGTCAAGAATAAACCTGAAGCCACTCGCCTTTCAGTTCTACGCACGACGTATGTAGGGCCTCATAGAGTATACTATACCCACAAGCAATAGAACGCTAACTCGAAATCGTACACACCGAAAACGCACATCGAGCATCCTTTTGCTGCAGGCTTGCACATCGAGCATCCTAAAACTCCTACAGCCTGAATCTTACGCTGTTGACTTCCTAGCCAACCTATTCACGGTGGTAGTAGGACTAAGAGAAGACACACGAGAAGGTCCAACTTTGTAATTACCCCTAGGTACTAGGTCCTAACCCTTTAACCAAAACCTCCGAAAACTAGAACTTCCGGGGCAAGCCCTTAAACCCTCGGAAACAAAACTCTTTGATCTTCGTCCTTGTCTAGCCCTCACCCAAAAAACACATGTTTCAAACCACATAAAGATTATATGGACCCCATGAGACCCTGAAAAGCACAGCTTGTGGCGCCTTGCCGAACCCGTTTAAGAGCTCTTTGAGCCTGGCGAAGGACAGTTGGGAAGTGAGGGCCTCTCTCTCTCTCTCTCCCTCTCTCTCTCTCTCTCTCTCTCTCTCTCTCTCTGTGCCGTTTCATCCGGAGGGTCAAGGGTTAAGGGTCTAGCGGATCTTGTTTTGTGGTTTGAGCACTCAAGGGTTAAGTGGCTAAGATTAAGATGGCTGAGGGCTAAGGGTTTTCAGAGTGCAGTGCTTGAGAGATTAGAGCTTACGAGGTCTATTTCCGGGCGCAGGGTCCAACAGCTTGGGGTTGAAGGCCCTTCGCAGCCTTAGCGGTTTGGGGTGTGCGGTGTAAGGCTTTACGGTTAAGTGCTTGAATTGGGGCTGTAGGGGTGTGGTTCGAATTTGAGCTGTGGGGTATCTTCTAGTGGGGAACTTTCAGCGGCTGCTGCAAGGGCTTGGACAGCTTAAGGCCTGAAAGATCTTGAAGCTTGACAGAGGTCTGAGATTTTGGGTTCATGTCGGGGATAGGCCAAACCTGGCCTCCATGGGGGTCTAGGGTCCAGAGCGTGTTTGCGTGGGACGTGTTCTAGTTTCAATACATTTAGGGAAGCGTGGCCGCAGGGCTTTGAGGGCTGTATAACAACAATGTTGTGGCCTTCAGGGCGGACGTTTTCTGTGAAGAAACCCGTCCCGAATCAGGATTTCGACCGCTCATTGCGAGACCCTGAAGCCACGAAGAAAGCTAATTTCCATCACCACCATTGCGACGACGACGACGATTACGACGTCTACAACAACAACTACTACTACTACTCCTACTGCTGCTGCTGCTGCGGCTGCTGCTGCTGCTACTGCTACTGTCACCGCCACTGCTACCCTAGTGCTGCTGCTGCTGCTGGGGCTGCGGCTACTGCTGGGTTCATATTAGCCGATGCCACCTCCACCTGCGTCATATAGATTCCGTATGAAACAACGCCATCAGCGTGACCGTCAGTATTGCTGGTACTATCAGTGTACAGAATCAATGCTTGTCATCATGATCGTCAACATCATCCCCACGGCTGCCACCAGTCCCGTCAGAACCATCAGCATTGTCAGCACTATCGTCACCATCATGGTCTTTATCAACAACTTGGCTTTCTTTGTCTCCGTCTATCATGGAAGCTAATTACTCATTGCCA